TGTCTCCTGAGGAAAATAAACTGGAAGGGGGTCGGGGGATTGGCAAAACAAAAACACCCTTCCCACTTAATAGCACTTGCAATTAAGAGCAAAATGGAGCAGAAAGCTCTGAAGCTTGACTTTGGGCAGAAAGAGAAGGCCCTCTCCGAGAGCCTCGGGTTTCTGTAGGCACAGTGCAGCAGCCTCTGTCTTCGTTTTACGTCAGAGCATTAATGCTGTGGTTTTGCCCCTGGTATCAACAGAGCTTGCCTGGTAGGTGGGTGGGGTATTGGGATTTATGCTGTAGACAAATTCAAGAACACTTCAGTCTTTTTTCTTTTTTTCCCCCCCCTTACAAAGCTTTTGAAAGTCCACTGGGGACCCCTAACGTTCAGCTGCTGCTGAAGCACACACTTCAAAGCCAGAGCTGCACAGCTTCTTTAGCCACCTATGGGTTTGATCATTCTGGTGGGTTTTCATTGCAGGCAATAATGCTCCCTTCCCCCTGGTAAAAGTCATCTTTCTGGAAAGTTCTGAGAGCTCCTCAAAATGTTTGGTAAAACAACATTTCTATTGTCATAAAACATGCCAGCCACATTAAACAGGGTAGGCCCTGGAGATGCTTTAAGAGGCAGAAACCTACATGCCACCTGCATAGCAGGTAGGACCCTTTCCTGCCCCGAGCCATGGCAGCAGGCACATATAACATGCTGAACAGAAAAGTGCTTAGAAATCATGGTTATTGCAAAAGGCATTGGGAGGAACAACTCTGTGGGGATTTCTAAGGATGTCGGTGACAAATTGGCAGATGCTCAGCTCTCCATATACTCCTATTGCCTAGTCCCTAAACCCACACATGTCCCCATGGCTGCCTCACTTCTCTCCATAGAAAATCTCCTCTGCCCACATTCTAAGGCCTGCACCAAGCTGGGCGGCCTTCATGACCAAAACCTACAGTCCTCTCATTGCCCTCAGCCAGGGCAGATGGGAATTGCTGTTATAGCCTTTTGTCCTGGTTTCCCAGTGCCTCTTCTGGTGGGGCCAAGCAGGACAGACAAATACCTCCAGTGTAGCCTGGTTTAGGGTTTTTTATGCCAAATTCATGGGATCAGCTTTTCTCTCTCTTATGGTAGAAATCTGTTGTGTTTCACAGACCAGCATTAATATCATTATAACTTCCCCCCTCCCCCAAGCCAAAGGCAACAGAGTGGTCAGTTACTGGGAGTGGGTAGCCACACCAAATCCACCTGAAAGTTTGGGCAGAAAAATGTTAGAAATGCAGCTGGAGTAAGTTCCCTGCTCTCTTTCACGCCTCCAATCCCAAGTAAATCAGAAAAAATCATGCTTTCTAAGTGGCTTCTAACATAATGAAAGTCAATTAGAGTGATGCAAACGGAGCTGATAACTGCAGGTTTTCATCACTGACTCCATGCTAAATGTCTGTACTGTGTGGTTTGCAAGGAAGTAAGGGTGCATGGAGAGGAAAGGATGGGGTTTTTAAAAGCAGTTAAATTGCCTCTAATTAGGAACACAACTGTAGTCAAAACATAATGTGAGGATAATAAATTGATATTTGCATAATGGAAATACTACCAAACTGTACTTCAAATAAGCTGAATTAGATTATAATTAGAGCTGTGTTTTGGGAAAGAAAATCCTTCTAATTGCCTGAGTACAGGCAGTGCCAAGGAGAAGAGGGCTGGCAGCTGCCAGGGAGGTCCTGTACGGGACAAGCACCCCACAACCAGGGACTATTCCCTGTAGGGGGGATAGGGTGCCTACACCTACCAGCAGCCAACACAGCCAGAGCGAGGCAGATCTGTGGAGAAAAAAGGAAAAAGCAGGAGGAATGTGAAGATGTGGACTCTTAGCCATCAACTGCAAAATCCAGAACTGAAAGAAAATCCAGGGTGAAATTGTATGGGCAGCAATTAGGGTGGGAAACACCCATGTCTCAGGGGAGATGGTGTGAAGGTAAAACTACAAGTGTTAATCCTGCAAATTGCAGGAAACCAGTGAACATCTTTTTCTGGTGAAATCTCAGCACTATACTGAGTTGCGATGGCCTCTTCTTCCTGCTGTTTGATAACTGGCTTTATTAAACCAACAGTAATTTTTTTTCTGCTGGAACATGGCAAGGTTGCTCGTGGTTTATTGTCAAGCTCTTACTACTCTTTATTAAAAAAACAGGCCACCTGGACAGCACTTGGTGACAGGTCACTTGCCTGTTGTACAAGACTATGTATATCAGCAAGGAAGCTACAGCTGAGATAAAGGAAAAATGTTATATTCCAAAACAGCTCTTTTTGAGATAATGAACATAGTAATTACAGCTTGTCACTGAAGTGAAGGCAGCATGAACCTTGAGGCTGACTTGTTGCCTGGTAGCTGCAGAATCTCATGGCCAGTGTTAATGCCCATTTTAGTGCTGGGCAGTGACACTATCCAGGTAGGAAAATTGATCAGCACACAAATTGATCAGCTCACTCATTTTGACTGGGGGACAGAAAAAGGTGATTTCTTAAGTTCCATGTGTATTGGGTTTGCATGGTCAGGTTTTGATAGTAAGGGGGCTATGGGGTTGGCTTCTTGAGAAACTACTAGAAGCTTCCTCAAGAAGCCAGTTCCAGCTGGCTCCAGGACAGACCTTCTGCTGGTCAAGGCTGAGCCAAACAGAGATGGTCATAATGCCTCTGTGATGACATATTTAAGAAGGAAAAAAAGTTATTGTGCAGATCTAATTGCAGCTAGAGAAGAAAGGAGTGAGAAATTGTGATAGGAAAAACTACACAGAAGCAAGGTCAGTGGAGAAGGAGGGGGAGGAAGTGCTCCAGACACTGGAGTGGAGATTCCCCTGCAGCCTCTGGTGCAGACTGTGGTGAAGCAGCTGTGCCTCTGCAGCTCATGGAGGCCAACAGGGATGCAGAGATACACCTGCAGCCTGTGGAGGAGCCCCATGCTAGAGCAGGTGGATGCCCAAAAGAGACAGTGAACTCATGGGAAATCCATGCTGGAGTAGGGTCCTGGCAGGCACCTGCAGGCCCATGGAGAGAGGAGCCCACACTAGAGTAGGTTTCCTGGTAGGATCTGTCCTCATGGGAGACTTGCACTGGAGCAACCTGTGCCTGAAGGACTGCACCCTGCAAAAAGTGACTCATGTTGGAGCAGTTTGTGAAGAACTGCAGCCTGTGGGAAGGACTCACATTGGAGAAGTTTGTGGAGAACTGTGTTCCATGGGATGGACCTCACACTGGAGCAGGAGAAGGACTCCTTTCCCTGAGGTGGAAGCAGCATCAGAAACAACCTGTGATGAACTGACCTTAACACCCATCCCTGTCTACCTGCGCTGCTGGGGGGTAGGTGTTTTTAAGATTTATTTTATTTCTCATTTTCCTGCTCTGATTTTGTTAGTAATAAATTCAGTTAATATCCCCAAGTTCAGTCTGTTTTGCCTGTAATCAGTGAGTGATCTCTCCCACTCCTTATCTCAACTCATGAGGCTTTTGTCCTATTTTCTCTCCCCAGTCCAGTTGCAGAGGGGAGTAAGAGAGCAGCTTTGGTAGGTACCTGGCACCCAGCCAGGGTCAACCCACACTGCGAAATACAATGACCCTGCCCACCAGGCTCTCAACATATTTGCTCCTCAAATACCCAGGTCAGTACACCTTAGCTCACCGAGGCAGTGCCTTATATTATATCTGGGCCGCTTACAGCATCATCCTGAACCCAGTGGCAATAAGAAAGGGGTGTGAATTTGGGCATCACCGGTTGGTGGAGGTGTACAACGGGATATGGCTCTCCCCAGCCATGCTTGAATGTCCCTCTGATATTGGCTGCTGTGGTTAGGGAGGATGAAGAAAACGAGGATGATTTTGGGGGTAGAGGAGTGGCAGAAGACACTATGGTTCTGGGTTTCAGTGGGGATTTTGAGACAGCTCTTCACATTATTTTCTCAGTGAATGCTGCATTATGGGGACAAAAAGTGCATTTTCCTGTTCACAGGCACAGAAAGGAGGGTAGCACAGGCCTGGAAAGGATGCCTAGTGCACTTAACTGGTGTGCCTCTCTCTCTCTATGAGATGTATAGCATAGGTCTAGTTTCCAAATCAGGAGCTACAGCTCATGCGTGTTCATGAGAAAAAAAAAAAAAAAGCAGGTCTGAGACATGATGCAGCACAAGTGTCATGCCAAGGGAAATATTCCCCTGTCTATAAAGGGTCCTGGCTCGGGGCACCAGTCCACAGCCAATACAGAGGCCATCAATATGAGCTCCTTTATTATTTGGAAAATGGTGTCTTGCTTTTCTGCTTGAGGAAGAGAGAAACTCTCCTGGTGCTCTGCTCTGCTGTAGAGTTTGTGGTACCAGATTTAATAAAGGGATGCGTGGGAGGGAGCACAGAAGAGAAAGAGAAAGGAGACAAGCAGGGGGAGCAGGCAGCTGTGCTGCATCAGAGAGCATTGGTCTGCAGCACATGGTGCCAGGGCTGAGGGAGGCAGAAGGATAGCCAGGCCCCAGGTCTCCTCCCCTCTGTGCTCTCCTCTTGGGAGTAAGATGCAGAACTGGCCCTGAGGAGCCCAGACTGGGGACAGCCAGGTCCCCATAAGAGGCAAAGTCTGGCTATTCCTTGCTTAATGTGTGGCCATCAGCCCCTGCCACCCTCCACTGCACTGGGTGCTGGCACGTTGTGCCTGTGGGACGCACTCCAGTTGTTGCCAGCATCACTCTAGAAAGATGTTGAGGCTGACACCCAAGACGAGACAGGAAAATAGGAGCCTGCCCAAAGTACTTCACATCTTTGCCTACAAGTCACAGCACAAACGCAGTTCTCAGAAACCAAAGCCTGGCCCCCCACCATGGGCTTGCTGTCCCATTTGCTCCCTCAGTGGCAACCCCTGGGTCTCAGGCCCACCAGCAAGGCACCCAGGGGGAGCGCAGGACCTCATGTGTGCAACAAGTGAGCTGGATAATCATGGTAGCAAGAAGGGAAAGATTGCACACCAACAAAGGCAGCCCTGGGAAACAATTTTATTGCCAGCAAAATGCTGCGGGTCTTTGTTAGTGAGTGCACTTCCCATGAAATGCAATTGCTCACTGTTGTTTTAAACTGAGACCACCCCAAAAATGAAGGCAGTTTCCATTAAACTGAATTACTTTTCCCCAAAACTGGCATGACAATGGTAATGCTGATAAGGAATGATAGCATTAAGTGAGAGCATCATTTATATTTTCTATTAAATCACTGTCATTTCTATTACAGATGGCATCGTGCATGCATGCCATGCTGATTTAAAGTGATAAAGGCTTAGTCGTGATTAGTTATCACAATGCCTAAGCAGAGCATGAAATACAGGTAGCACAAATGTGCAGCAACCCCACACCAGGCCCAGGTCAACACTGGGATCTAAACTGAACTTAGTATTAGCAGATAAATTGGTACAAAAGTAGTGGTGTTTTTTCAAAAACATTCATATGCCCATCACCCATGTAATCCTGAAGGCTATTTGTCTCCTCCACCTTTTCTGTGCTCTTCAGAAGTGGCGAGCCAGGAAGCAAAAAGAGAAGGTGCAGCAACACGACTGCCATAGATCTGACCATGGAGATCCAGTACAAAGCAAGTGCAGTATTCAATGAATGACTTGAATGCCTAAAGACACTCAGCAAGGAGAAAGTGGGGTTGCTAAGTTGGCAAGGTTGGACGAGCACTGGTGTTGCAGCAGTAAATCAGGGAAGGTTTCTGCTCTTGAGGATGTTTTCCAAAAGTTGCTGAGCTTCCTGGAGCCCATGGGCTGCTGCCACACTGAGAAGTTTCTCCACTTCCCTGAAGGACATGAAACTTTCATCAAGAAATATTAGGAGGATATTTGATTCATTCGTAGCTAAATTTCAATTACCCAGGCTTTTATAAGTGGAACACAGTTACTGAAAATGTCTGTAAAGTTTACTCTCCACTATTCAGAAAATGATCTGATTTTCCTTCTGCTTTTCCCTGTGGTCTGAGCACATGTGTTTTGGGTTTGGTGATTTTCTCATCTTAGTTGAAGTAGAGATGGGTTTGGAGCTCTTGAAATTCCATTCAAAACATGAGTCTGCCTCATCATGCGACATGCAGTGGAAATTGAAACAAAACATGCTGGCCACAAGGTTTGCCCAAACAATGCTATTTTAGCTTCATTTAGTTTAAAACTGCTCTCTCCGAACTCAATCTCAATTTTCAGACTTGGAGTAAATACAAAAAAATCAAAACTAAACAATACACAAAATCAATCACTGTATTGGGAACTCATCAGTTGTTTTAGCTTCACTTAGCCCCAGGACCAGCCACCACAACAAATGTACAAAGCACAAGGCAAGTTTTCTTTGGCTGTGGGCCTTGCTGGGAACACTGGTGTGAAGTGTGCACAGGCACATTAGGGAGGGAAGTGCATCCTGAGTGGTTTCAACCCAACCCCCAGGCAGGCAACAGGAAACTTCTCATTGACTTCACTGGATGGGAAGAAGATTGAAAAGGGAGTTCCCCCCAAAAAGAAAGACAGGTCTTTATAGCAGAAAATTCACATGTCACTTCAATAGCTCTTTCTATACCAGTATGGGTCTTGTCCCTTGCCTTGATTGGGAAATCACGATGGAAATACATATGCGCTCAGATCACAGGAATTTTGTGTACTGTGGCACTTAATTTTTAAAATCTCATTGGACTAACTGGAGTTTTTGGTTTTCCTCTGCAGGTAGGGCTGCATTACTGACATTACAAGGAGAGGGCATTAGAAACGCCGGAGTAGCTTCATGCGTGGAGTACTTACAGCACCAGTTTCCCCCACACACACCTCCCCAGGAGGAGCTGGGAATGCAGCTGTAATGAGAAGGAAGAGGATTAACTCAGGTTACCCTTCTTCAAGTGCCATGGTCATGTTTCTGAGTGCCCCCACCGCCAGGTTGAAGGAGGAGTGGGGATGGCCCTGCCCCGCAGCCTGCCTACAAGGGGGAAGAGACAAGCAAAGTCAATGGTAAGAGACATACAGAAGAAGAAAACCTGAGTTTGGATGTTTCAAAATGAGGTAAGAGCTGTCCTGATTTTGGCCGAGGTAGAGTTACTTTTCTTCCTAGTAGCTGGTACAGTGCTGTGCTTTGGATTCAGTATGAGAATAATGTAGATAACACATTGATGTTTTGATTGTTGCTGAGCAGAGCTTACCCTAAATCCATGATTTTTCAGTTTTCCATGTTCTGGCAGCGGGGAGGTGTACAAGAAGCTGGGAGGTAGCATGGCCAGGACAGCTGACTCGAACAGGCCAAAGGGATATTCCACACCACAGTGTCATGCTCAATATATAAACTGGGGGGGAGTTGCCCAGGAGCTGCCCATCACTTGTTGGGGACAGGCTAGGCATTGGTCAGTGAGTGGTAAGCAACTGTATTGGGTATCTCTTTTTTTATTATTATTATTATTGTTATAATTTATTTCATTTATTAAACTGCTCTCTTCTCAACCCACAACTTCTACCTTTCTCTAGTTCTCCTCTCCATCCCACAGGGCTGGGAGGGGAGTGGGGAAATAAGTGAGCGGTGGTGTGGTACTTAGTTGCTTAGATGAGGTTAAACCACGACAGAGCAAATAAGGAAGAAGGTATGTATAATTCACTGTTCTGAAATGTGACTCCTTCGAAATGTTCAGGCCCTGATTTGGAAAACATCTTTATTCAGAAAGGCACGAGGGCTTCAGCATTTCTCTAGGTAGGGATGTCCTTAATGATGCCTTCTTTGATTACAACTCCTGCTGTTACAGGCATAGTTATTTCAGCCCTTCCTGTAGCTTGATGCTGTTGTATGCCCTGAGCAGACACAGAGGAAACATCTAACGTGCCCCCCTCCTCTCCCCTCACTTTTTGGGTAGCACAGTAACTTCCCCCATCTCTCATTCTTCCCATTTTTCACCAAGAGTGTTAGGATTTCAGGGGATGCAGCTCAGGCTCCTACCACAGGTGTGACCACTGTGGGTACCACAGCAAATGCACACACAGGCATGGCTGCCTCGCTTATGTGGCAGAAACTCTTGGGAGGGTGTGCTGAGAGCAGGAAATTAATACATTGCTGTACCTTGATTTTCCATTGCCTCAGCAGTTCCTGGCTCACTCCCCTCCTGCGCCTGTGCATTTTCCCTGCTGCCCACCTGCAGCTCAAACCTCCCCAAAAGGCTATTCAGCAAAACCAGCATTCTCTGCACTCTTGCTCCGAGACACTTCCTTTCTTTCACTGATTTAAAAAAAAATAGCAATAGTAGGTGGGGAAAGTGGAGCAAAGCATATGACCCACGGTGAGAAGATGGGAGCTCCAGATCTCCCTGCTGCCACCTGTGAACCTCCCTCCCACTGCCACAGGACAGCTCAGTGCAGCTGTCCCCCAAAGCACTGCCAGCTCTTCTTCCTTCTCCCATGCCACAGTAGCCTTTTGCCAGAAGAAGCCAATTTCCAACAGCAAGAATTGTGCCTCACCTGAACCAGTGCATAGCCATGTCCTCATTTTTTTCCACTCCGGTTCCTGGGTGTGAGACAAGGTATCAAAGTCACAGATACGTTATAGAATACAGCGTCCAAAATCCAGCAGTGTGGTGGTACCACATACCACAGAGCCATGTTTGTAGTTCTGGCTTATAAGCATACCTACTCTGGCAGCAAGTTAGCCATGGTTTGCAGAAACATTACCTTGCAAATACCTCTGTCCCAGGATGTGCTGGGCATTGGGGTACCCCAGGCGAGCATACAAATGAGCCACGTGGAAATGGAAATTCTCATAGCACAGTGGGATGTAGAGCAGGAGGAGGCCAGCAATGATTACAGCTGCCAACTGTAAAAGAGGAACAGCCATGATGCAAGGAAGAAAATAAACTGAGGACCAGCTACAGCAAATATCTCATCTGAGCTCTGAAGCCTCCCAAAGTTTTCCCCACAGATAAATGGGAGGAAAGCCTCACACAACCACAGAAAACCAAAGTCACCTTTGATAGAGAGCCAGTTCCAGAGTTTCCACTGAAGCTGGCAGAAAATGCCCCACTGAATTCAGTGAGCAGTGCATCAGCTCCTGAGTTAATTTCCCCTTTAAGGTCTCCTACAGCAAAGGAAACTACAATAATTTTATTTTCTAGTGGTCCTATTGAAGAAAAAGGGGAAAAAATTCATAAGGTGCCATCAGGCTTTTACAAACATTCTATCAAAGAGGCTTGCCAGAAGGAGTCCCATTCCCCAGTCAGCTAGGTCCTTGGCCCACCACTGCCCATAGATTTTGTGAGCACTCACAAAATCACAGAATGGATCAGGTTGGAAGGTACCACAGTGGGTCATCTGGTCTAACCTCCCTGCTCAAGTGGGGTCATCCTAGAGCACATCAAACAGGACTGTGTCCAGACAGATCTTGAATATCTCCAGTGAGGGAGACTCCACAACCTCCCTGGGTAATCTGTTCCAGTGCTCAGTCACACGCACAGTAAAGTTCTTTCTCACATTCAGATGAAACTGCCTGTGCATCACTTTCTGTCCGTTGCCTCTTGTCCTGTTGCTTGGCACCACTGAGAAGAGCCTGGATCCTTCCACTTGACACCCTCCCTTTAGATACTGATAGACACTGATGAAGTCCCCTATCAGTGGCCTCCTCTCAAGGCTGAACAGGCCTGGCTCTTTCAGCCTATCCTTATCCCTTAATCATCCTTGTTACCCTTTGCTGGACCTGCTCCAGGAGTTCCACGTCTCCCTCCCTTTGTGAACATCCTTGGCTCATAAAGCCTTTCATTCTGTGTTACAGTAAGGACATGCCTACATCCACACCTGACAGGAGAATGACCTTTGGTCTGAAACTCTTCTTTCATCCAAGGTATAAATCAGCAAAAAGTCTGATGAACTGCACCAGCAGGGAAAAAGATGAGAGACTAGAATTAGGCTGTTTGCTTTTTGATGCCAAATTGGATTTTCTTTGTTCAGGGAGCTAGCTATTAGCTTCCAGCGAGAGGAGCTGGCAACTTAAGCATCCACATCTTGGAAGAGTCAGGGATGCCTGGCTAGGAATAGAAAAGCAGGCTTAGGAAAACGCTATAGGAGGCCCATGTGGAGCCTCCTGCCTGCACAGGTTACCAGGAGCCCATTGCCTCCCTGCAGGGGAATGCAGGATGTCTCGCCAATGGTGCCAGCCCTGCAGAAGGTAAAACCCTTTCCTACTACATGGGAAGATGGAGACCAGGTAGAGTCCTGAGTGGAAGACATGTCTGAGAACAACAAGGAGGCAAGTGCTGATCAGGTCCCTCAGTACAACCCTGTGCTGAGATGCAACACTGATGGTATGGGATCCAGAGGAGACCACTAATACCTCGGCCTTCAGCCCTGTAGCTTTTGTGAAAGCAATGATGGATTCTTGGACCTGATGTTCATGGGCACATGCCAAAGCACCTGCAGACTCTCTGCATACCACTGTTCTTATCCTGTGGATGCAGAAGCAGAGCAGACATGAGAAGCCTATTTTAACAGCCAAGTCAGAAACAAGTACGAGGGCCTGTCCAGGTGACCACGGCTGTTGCAGAACAAGCTCACTTCTTCATCTGGGCATAATTTCTTGCTACAAGTACTTGTGACTAATGGCTACAGCATGTGGGTTTGTCACCACGCCATGTTTTGGTGGTGGCTTGGGGTTTTTTTCTATTTTCTTTTCCTAAACCTTCCTAAAGGGTGAGAAAAACCAAGACCTATGCATGACAAAAGGCAGGTGCACAAGGTGCTGAAGCACACTGATCCCAGCTCTGGAAGATGGCACCACCAACACTGGTTCCTTGGCTGCCCACCAACTTGAAAATGCACCTACAAGCACACAGCTAGTCCCACACAAGCAGAGACATGAGCAAAAATAATCCTTTGCCCTCTGCTGTGGCTGTGGCTACATCTGCTATTTTAAGTGTCTCCAAGACCAAAAGAAAGGGAAACTGAGTGACCTTTCTCAAAAAGCAGCTGCTGATGGAGGGGGGCACCTGAAGTGAGATCTCCTTACAGAAGGGATGAATCAGTGAGGTGCAAGTCCCATGGGCTTCTTCCACGTTGGTTATCTGCAGCCCTCACCCTCACAGCCAGCATGGGCGACTAAAGGCACAGTGTACCAACAGTCCCTGAAATGAGAGAGCTCCTCAGGGATCTCAGCCAAGCAACAAATGCTAGTCTACCTCAAATGCAGGAAGGAACATGGGGAGCTTGTTGCATTGCCCCATGCAGGGGTGTGAAGCAGATCGCTGGCCTGAAACCACCTTTGTAGTCTTGGGGGGAGCTCTCAGTTGCTCGTCCCACCCTTTTCTTCTGTGGTGACTCATTAGAAACTACTTTGCATTTTTCAAACCTTGCATAGTTGGGGCTGCTCTAAAGCATGGGGGAAGCCCAGTAGTGTTGGTGGGGCTATGCCAGGGAAACAGGCAGTGAGGGACACAAATCAGGCTGTGCACATGTATTTATGCAACCCGGTTCCTACACAGCAGCTTCAGCATCTTGCCTGTGCCATCACCCATGTGCCCAAGCCCACTGTACAGGATCGAAAATATGATCAAGAGGAATGCCTAAAAACTCCGCCTTATAAGGACTGCACTTGAAGATGCCACATTACTGTTTGCTAGCAAAAGCCTCCGCTCCCCAGGCAGAGAAAGGCATCCCAAGACTTGCATTTGAGAGGCTGTTGTGTGCAAGCAGCTCCTGTGGCTTTGACCCACTCTAGCACCAGTGGCTTTCACGGGCAGGGTGTGATATAACACTCAGTGCCAGCATTCCAACCCTGAACCCATCCCCACACTTACCTCCCAGCTGCTCCATGTTGAGCTGTTGGGGTGAGGGTTCCCACCCCCAGGACAAGGATTTGCCCCACAGGGATCAGCGCTGCCCCATCCCTTCCGTCGCAGCCGCACTGCAGGCTTCGTGTCCCCCATGTCTCCTTCCCGCAGGGAGTCCAAGCGCTTCATTTTAACCTGGTCTGCTCCCTCTCACCAGGCACCACCACCGCCCTGCCATAAGTCTTACCCATCACCATCCCTCGGTTTTGCTCCTGATTTATGGCAGCAGTAGCCCAGCTGCTTCACTAAGATAAGAGGGATGGGTACACATCTCCTCGAAGAGTCATAGAAAAAGAAGATGCTTCTGACGAAAACCTTGCAAATCACCAATGTTTAACTCTCCCTGTGCTGAATATTTCTTTTTCTTCAGACTGGTCCCAGGTGTTGGGAGCCCTCACCAGTAAATTGTTATATTTGACAAATTCGATTACATTTTTTTTTTCTGCTTTTTACATGTATGGATTTTGGACAAATGCAAGACCATGCAGGCCTAGCCCCAGGTGAGAAAATTAGAAAATGTGCAATGATATACAATTAGGAAATTATCAGAACGTACAAATGCCCCCACAAAATTTGACAGGATGGGATTTTTATTTCTTTAAGCTAGAAAAGAGCTTACTTGTTAAAGTCAGATATTTTATAGCTGCATAATTATGCCTCTATTCATTTGCAGTAACTGCACCTAGTAAATTTCAGATGCTAAATTTCGTTTTGCTTTCACATCTAAAAAACACCTCTTTTTAATGCAAGATCCCTAATGAGTGTTACCTTCCTACTCTGAAGTCCTAGCAGAGGATTTTAACCAGATGCCTGGCAGACAAGGTCCATCTCATGTGAAATGCTGACCTTGTCTGGTTGTCTGACCATAAAAAATAAAATATTTTCCTTTCCAGTTTTACAGTTAAGATAAGTGCTGTGCTTTGGTTTTAAAGAAAACCCCACCCCCAAAGAACAAGGATATCTCTTTGGTTGTGATGACTCAGCCTAAAAACCTTACTGAAGAGGAAACCCTTCATAGTTTCATATTTTATTTCTTGTGTTATGCTGCCACCATTGGGACAATTTCATTTGGTCAGTCACAGCCCCACTACAGTTGAAGAGATTCATCTTTATGTCCCTGATCAAAGTGTGAACCATTTTCACAGTATATCAAATTTAACTGGACAGTAATAGTCATAGTGCAAGATCAATTGTTTCCAAGTGCAAACCTCTGCATTAAGGAAACTCAGAAATTTCCAAAACAAGTCCAGAGCAGAAGGCACTTCACTGCAGCAATGAAGAGATGAAAGAAGGTAATACCCACTTAACCTTTTTTTCTTTTCTCAGTTCCAATTACTAGAATTTAAAGATGGAAAAAAAAAAAAAAAACAAAAAAAACCAACCAAAAACACAACACCCCTCTGGGAGTTATCCTTCCTAGGAATGATACACCCTTAGCTACAATTTCCAACTTTGGCAGAAGTGAACTCCAGAGTTAATCTTATTACTATTTGTAAAGGTGTATTGGTAACAGTTATATTTGTACTGACACCTCAGCTAGCTCTGGGAAATCAGTACTTTTCTCAGTACAAAACAGACCCTGGGGCTTGCAGTTCTTTGTTGTGGATGACTAAAAATGAGAACATATTATTAATTATGCATTGTTCAGTGAGAGCCATGCTGTCTGTGTCACAAGCCAGGTGCAGTACTGGATCTCATTCCAGTTGTGAGCTTCAGTTACTTCTCTACAAAATCCAATCTACACCATGAGGAAGAAATAAACCAGGTTGTCACACTAGAAACAAAAGATGGCTGTACTAGCTGTCTCCTACCAATAAAGAAGAACTGGATCTCCTCTACTTGAAATGACTTTGGCAAGGAAAGGGCAAGTCTGCCATGAATTTTCTCTCTGCTCTTCCAAAGGGCAGGTGGCATTTCTTCTTTTTCCCTTTCATTTTCACAGAACAAGTTTTGAAGAACCGTTTCCAGCTCCGCAAAGAAACATTTTGATTGAAATTCTGGAACAAGGCACCTTCAGGAAAACACATTCTTTTTCACATTTTTCCAGGTTGCTTTCTTAGGAAAAGAAATTGGTATAACCAAATTGCTATGTCTGGCAAAAGCCTATTTAATTACAATGTCCTCCGGGCATAGGTATCACGTGGCAAATTAGAGCCACTTCAGAGTTGCCCAGCTTGAACACCGTTGGAGTAGGTCCTTGCATATGGCTTTGTAGCCAGCACAAAAGACCATGTAAAGATAATTATTTTGAATGGAGCTCAAATATGGGTAAGGGTGAGGACCAAGGCACGTAGCAACAAGAGAATTTTGAGGGATAAGTTTCTGTGTAAGACAATGGAAGGATGAGGGTAAGGAGTTCTGGCTGCCACTGTCTCTGACAGACTCTCATTTCACTTTGCCTAACTAGCTGTAGCTTCCTTTCAGAGCTGGCTAAACGAGAACAAAATAAAAATCTATTCAGGCTAGTCATTATGACTATTAATAGCTGATACAAAGGAGTATAATGAACAGTGTAGATATAAGGGTAGTTCAAGTCTCTCTGAAATCAGTATGCAAGTGTTATCTGCAGAGCTATTACAGAGACCTGTATTGAGTTAAGAGAATAGAAATTTGGCAGAAAATAAACCCTCCTGCTTTCCAGCTAGCCCTCAGGGAGGCTGGGTGCAACTAGGCTTAATTTTTTATTATAAGCAATTCAGCACTGTAAGTTTGGTTGCATTCAGTAAGATCCCAGATGGACCAATACAGTGTGTTACACTGTAAGTCTGGTCTCATTCATGATTAGATATTCACAAAGAGTGTTGTTTATCAATGCATCAGTCTGGTCAAGTTCAAAAGAACTTGCATGAACACAGACTCACAAACAGTGCAGTGCAGCAACAGATTGTAGATTCTTCTAGACTGGTGGTGATTCACTAGACCTGCAAAATATAAATGTATACCACCATGTACAAGGGTTTCCAAGTATGCTCCAGAGGCACAGATCTTACCAAAGAGGCTACTTTGGGGAAGGAGAGCAAGCCCTTTGACTTGTCTGCAAGGTGGTTGTATTCTCATCTTCTGTCATGGAGGATTTCAAATGCCAAATTATACTCCTCTGGAGAAGTGGAGGTGAGAATGTAGTCAAATATTCTGCTAGCAGCCGCCATTAATGGGGGGGGAGTCACTTTATATGTAAATGAGGAATATAAAAAATTACAAATACAGTGATTATAAAGGCTGTGTGTAATGGCCAAGGGTAGAATAGAACTGTGACACCCTAGATCACTCCCTCTCTCATCTGAATTGCAGTGATCAGGATCATCTACAACCTATAGATAGCTAGCTTATCACCCCACCAGCAGGCCACCACCCCACAGTAATCCCTTCACCACATATCTCACACCGTATCTCATTCTTTCAGTGTGTGGAGCTGTTTAGAGATACCAGATTAATAAATGTATCTGTTAAACCGAACAGTTGAATCCATTCATCACTATGCACAACACAACCGTGCAACAGGAGAGGATGTGAATTTCCTGAACCCAAATACAGCAGCCAACAGAGAGACCCAGCTCAGCAGAACCCTTTCATTTGCTAGAGATCCTGCAAAAGGGCAGCAGGGAAGCCCTCTGCAAGGGGGAATGGTTCCAGGGGCAAATACAAGTCATACTGTAATTGATCTCACCACAAAAAACTAGAGCCTAAATGAATGTAAACAGTGGCTACAGACTGAAAAAAACCCTGACAAACTATATTACTCACTTAAGGGGAGTTAGGTCAAAGTTCATCATACTAAAACCTCTGACTAAAACCTGTACACTAAAAAATGAGCAGACTCAGCTTAGCTGTCACCTAAAAAAATAATTTCTCAAATGCTTTCTGACTTTTGAAGTTCCACAGATATTGTATCCCAGGAATGCCTTGGCAAAGCTGAGCACCTAGGCATGTATCTCCTACTTAAACTTGTTCAGGATTCAGTAACTGTAAAGTTCTGAGGGATGTGAGCTTTCTGGGAATGCTTCATCAGTCTGCTAATGAAGATGATCTCCACCACTTCTGCAGAAACTAAAATCCTCAAAGAAATTAATTCAAGATAGTCCAAATAATACCATGATCATAGTCTAGTACTTAGTGAGGGGTGAGAATTGGTACCTGCTTTGTAGAGTGTGTTCATATTTTGGAGGCAAGTAAAAATAATTGTTTTTCTCCAAGGAAATCATACTAAGTAGTAGACAGAGTAGAAAATAAAGCAGCATTACACCCCAGTTCTCCTAAGGCATATTGAACACCATTATACAAGGTACACGCCAGGCTGACTGCATCTTTTCTCACCAGGTTCCCCATAATATATCCTTTTAGAGAGATTTTCCACTTTCTTAATGTTAATTAGGCCAATAAAAGCCTATTATTCTGCTTTGTCCCCCTTGAAGCATATCTTCCTTCTTCCCACTGGATAAGACACCTGGGGTTAGGCTTGGGGTACAAATATCATCAGGAAGATGGAGGTGGTAAGTGCTCCCTTTGTTCATGTGGGATTGAGGTTATTTGTGCTCACAACCAGGTCTGAAGTTGCTTTGGAATTGTTCCCACTGTTCCTAGTGTACCTAAACTAGTTTCCATTTATGTCTTTAAATAGCAGAGGGGGGAGTTCAGATTGTGCTTGTTGAGTGAAAACTTCTGCAGGCTTTTGTAAAATCTTGAGGCTTGTTTTTAAACTTAAAAAAAAAAAAATTCCAAACCCCTTCAAACCCTCTTATCTTCTTTCTTGCTGAAGGAGAATATAAACAAATGAAGCTTCAAATAGACAGAAGCACCAGACAGTTACATAAAAACAAACTGCCAGATCCCTGCATGTAGGCGTATCTGCTCTCAATTCAGTCCTGCCTCTCTGTGCATGTGCTTGGAAGTAGGTCTCCCCATCTTGAGGTGGTAGCAGCTAGGACTAGATGCCCAAACTGAAACTCAGGTGTTGAAGGCACTGATGATGTGGCCTCAGGCTGTCTGAAAGTTCAACTAAAGGGTCCTTTGTAACCAGGGGACCAAGTATTTGGGGTCAGACGCTCGAGCAGAAGAGGTACAAAGTTTTATATCTTTACTATTCCAGTGAACAGCTCGAAAGATCTTGAAGTGAAGCTCTACAGATCAGCACATATCCTCCTGTCTTAGTGTTCTGAGTATTTCAACTGTTGAAGACCTGAAGAAAGTGGAAAAGTTATGGCAAGCAGAGCATCCTCATGAGAACGTTATGCCCTCAGCTCTACCTCCCATTATAGAGTATTCATCATGCTTGGGACCCTTTGATATCAAGACAGAGGAAATAATTGTGTTAATGTATGGTGGTTTAGTGATTAGATTGGTAAAGTGTATGACAGATCCTGCCAGTCTTCCACCTAAAGAGCTAATTGGCTGGGGAAAGGCCAGGGTTTCCCCCTGAGCTCACTGCATGCTCACAGATGAGTGGCATTTCTCTCAGATAACAGAGACTTACAGTGTTCTGGAAGAGCACAAGGAATTGTTACTTTTTTGAAGTTGAAGGAATTGGATTAACCGAGAATGCCCTCAGATGAGCTCTGAAGTTTAACTGATAATTTACTGAAAATGGCACCAAAAGAAAAAAATGGTTAAAGCTTCATTTCAGGAAAATACAGGCAGGGATTTGAAGTGCCAAAGCT